GAGGGAGGCGTGTGAGACAGAGAGGAGGGAGGGAGGCAGAGAGAGAGGAGAGAGGGAGGGAGAGAGAGAGGGAGGGAGGGAGGGAGGGAGGGAGGGAGGGAGGGAGAGGGAGAGAGAGAGGAGGGAGAGAGGGAGGGAGAGAGGGAGGGAGAGAGGGAGGGAGAGAGGGAGGGAGGGAGGGAGGGAGGCGTGTGAGACAGAGAGGAAGGAGGGAGGGAGGGAAGGAGGCGTGTGAGGCAGAGAGGAGGGAGGGAGGGAAGGAGGGAGGGAGGCGTGTGAGACAGAGAGGAGGAGGGAGGGAGGGAGGCGTGTGAGACAGAGAGGAGGAGGGAGGGAGGGAGGGAGGGAGGGAGGAGGAGGGAGGGAGACAGAGAGGAGGAGGGAGGGGGGGAGGGAGGGAGGGAGGGAGGAAGGGAGGGAGAGAGAGGAGAGAGAGGAGAGGAGAGAGAGAGAGAGAGAGAGAGAGAGAGAGAGAGAGAGAGAGAGAGAGAGAGAGAGAGAGAGAGAGAGAGAGAGCAGAGAGAGAGAGAGAGGAGATAGAAAGAAAGAGAGAAGAGAAAAAGAAAGAGAGAGTGAGAGAGAGACAGAGAGAGAGAGAGAAGAGAAGAAGAGAGAGAGAGAGAGAGAGAGAGAGAGAGAGAGAGAGAGAGAGAGAGAGAAAGAGAGAGAGAGAGAGAAAGAGAGAGAAAGAGAGAGAAAGAGAGAGAAGAGAGAGAAAGAGAGAGAGAGAGAGAGAGAGAGAGAGAGAGAGAGAGAGAGAGAGAGAGAGAGAGAGAGAGAAAGAGAGAGAAAGAGAAAGAGAGAGAGAGAAAGAGAGAGAGGAAGAGAAAAAGAAAAAGAGAAAGAGAAAGAAAAAGAGAAGGACAATCGGGGAGATAGAGACAAAGAGAGAATAGGAGAATAGCGAACGAGCAATCAAATCAAAGCAAAATAACAACAACAATAACAACAACAACAAAAACAACAACAAACAACACCAATACCCACATCGTATATATCGTGCACCCCATCATGATGTACACAAGCAGAATCAGAAGAGCGAGAGAGATTGGCAAGTTGAAATTATCATCCACGACGTCTTCCTCGTTCTCCGGGATTTCCTCTTCCTCTTTTCGTAGGCACATGAGACCACACCAGCCTCGCACCTTCTTCATGCACACCTGGAATGAGGGAGTGAAGGAGAGGAGATAAGAGAAGAAGGAGAGATACGAGGGAAGGATGGATAATAAAACGCTAATTAATCTGTGAAGCGGATACGTGTAGGAGTAAGTTTCTGTGTTGTCGTTTTCTGCGCGCACACAGGCACATATACACGTAAAATGTATATATGTATCTGTCACATCTTTATAATTAACATAAATGATAATATATTGGCACATCCTTTGGCCCATTTACAAAACAAGCAAACAAAAACACACAAAAAACAGGCATCCACGGACCTCGGAATGCCATACAAAAGTCTACGGGATCCACATACCATATTTCAGTAAAGGAACAAGGCCACGATATACGGTTTCTGTGGATTTCATCACATGCTGGATTCTCTGGGCATGATCATGCTGATCGCCTAGCTAACTCAGCATGTGACAAACAAAGTGTGGATATAGAACTTCTTGCAAGGATTTCACACATCATTAAAACTTCCTTCAAAGAAGACTTGACTGAGTTGATTAATCCTCAACGTCCTAGAAACTGTAGCATAAAGCACCATGACTGGTTTACGCAAAATCGATTCATCTATGGATTATTTAAAACAAGAACAAGATAGTGTGATACTGTGACCGCAAGAATCAGGCTAGGATACAGACTGTAATGGCAGGTCAGTACAGTTTGTAATGTCAATAAAAAAATAAGAGTAAATGGTGTCATGAAGAATATAAGCGAACACATGTACATTATATCTCAGTGCCATGTGTTCCAACCCTTCAGACCACCTAGCATGAAGTACGGAGAACTATGTAACCATTTCATATCAACTGATGTCTTAGAAGATATACTTATGTTGTATCCTAAATTTGGAATGTAGTATCACATGACCGCATATCGAATGTAGCAATGCCTTTCCACGCCCAAGCTGTACACCGGCGTGGCAGATGAGTAGATAAAGGACTGTGTAATGGTTCCTTTCCTTTAACTGATATAGTGCAGATCATAATAACGTTATAGCCTAAAATTCCAATGTAATACATAACGCTTTGTGGTAAATAAAGGACTAAACTAAACTACAGGGCGGAAGCAAAATTGTACTTTAAGCAGTGACTGTAGTGAGAATTAATCTTAATTTCTTTGATATTATCAATTTCTTCATTTCTTTGACAGATTGTCTAAAAACCAAGACTGTAGAACATTATTTCGAAATGTCATCTAATGCAGGCCGTCAGGAGAAATAGCATGAGATTGAAAAACTATATATCAACTACAGCACAATTCAATATACAGTTGTATTACATATATATGACACAATTCATGAAAAAAGACCTGTCATTATAAATATATAGAT